AGCAGTGGTAGTAGTCGTAGAAGAAGAAGTAGTAGTTGTACTAGTAGGAGTAGTAGCAGCTTTGTCGTACTAGCGGGTCCCCCTTCCACCCTTCGGGGGACTCCCAGAATAGGGCCAAGAGGAGGAGAAGAGGGGGGAAGGCGATGGAGGATGGTAAGGCTTGGCGGAGGGGAAAAGCAAGAACGACCGAGAGAGCAGAAACAATGAAGCGATCTGGAATGAGGCCTGGCAGATGCAGGACGAGGAGAAGACATGGAATGATGAAGAGGAGGGAGCGGAGCGGAAGGATGGGTGCTCACCAAACTTGACCAGGCACTTTTTTGTTTGGTTTTTATCGCCTTGCAGACCTGGCCATTGTTTGTTTGTCTTTGGTTTGGGGCCTCACGAATCCTGGCCTGGCGTCGGTTATCCGGGTTTTTCCCCGGTACGAAAGCTGGCCAGGTGTTTTTTATTTGTTTGTCCCCACATCCTCAGTCGGATTTGTGCTTTCTCTGGACACCCCGCGCACCCCTCACACCTTTTCCTCTTCAGGCCCACACTTCCTGTCATCAACATCGCTACCCGATCAATCATCATCCCTCTCACCATCATCATCACTACCACCGTCCCATCAGCATCATCAGCCCGCATCGTCATCTGGCCACTCTCTCACTCACGCACATGCATCCGTCATTCAGTCGTCAGCATGACATGATCCCCGTCATGACCATCTGCCATTAGCAGCGCACGCCGCCATCGTCATCAGCATAACCACCCCATCATGATAATCGATCAAGAGGGGCCTCTTCTATGAGTGAATTGCGATGAAGTCTCACGCGGGAGCCCCCTCCCTATGAAACCCGCACTTCATGTTGGTGATCGGAACGGGTCATCTAGATGTTGTTAGCGTCGTCACAATTGGATCCTTCACGCTTGAATTTTGAAGGAGCCTCAGGCGGTAGCTTCGTTTGTGTGTTTGGAAGTCTCAGGTGGGAACCCCCTCCCGATGGAGCCCGCACTTCATGTTGGCAATCGGAACGGGATCATATCTTGTAATTGTCGTCACGTTTGGGCCTTTTCATGCTTGAATTTCGAAGAAGGCTAGGCGGAAGCTTCGTTTGTGAGTGAATTGCAAGGAAATCTCAGGCGGGAGCCCCCTCCTTATGGAACCCGCATTTCATGTTGTTGATCGGAGCGGTCATCCAAATCTTGTCACTGTCGTCACTTTTGGGCCCCTCGCGCTTGAATTTTGGATAAACCTCAGGCGGGGTTGGAGCCCCCTCCCTATGAAGTCCGCATTTTTTGTTGGTGATCGGAGCGGCCCATTCAAATCCAGTCGCTGTCGTCCTTCTTGGGCCCCTCACGCTTGAATTTTGAAGAAGCCTCAGGTGGAAACCTCGTTGCTGAGTGATTTGCGAGGAAGTCTCAGACGGGGGACATCCACGGCGTCTTCACGGCACACGTCGGCATGGAGGTTCGGCCCACGGCCGTGCAGGAGGAACTGAAGAAGAAGTTGGGGTTCGCGCAAGAGCAACGGGTCACCATCGTTTCCTTCGGGTTTCACCCGGACAACGAGCGGGAACGCGGGGAGCGCGCGCCAGGCCAGCTCTTTCGCCCCCGCTACCTACCGCAGGGAATCTGACTGCAGGTGGATGGCTTCAAGGAGTCCCCGATCTACCAGGAGGTTGTCGAGGTGCTGCTAGAGGGCGCCGAAGGCGCTGGCGATGACGGCGAGGCCGAGACGCGGGCGAGGAGCTTGCTGAGGTTCAGGCCCAGCGAGCAGGAGTTCACCTGGCAGAATTCGGGGCCGCACGTCGCGCGCCGCTCGGGGTTCACCCTGACGCGCGCGTCGCACCTGACCTCCGCGCTGTCGCAGGGCCAGACGCTGCGCGAGGGCGTCGCCGTTGACCGCGCCAGGGATGAGGACGCTGGTCGCAAGGGCATGTCGGACGAGCGGAGGTGGCTGCACCTCCTGCGGAGCACGTTGACCCTGCGGCCGCCCGCGCGAGAGGTCCTGGGGCGCGGGCCGCCAGCGCTTGCGGAAGGCGCTCCGGTAGCTCGACGAGATAGCGGAGAGCTCCAGAACCGAGGTGGGGCAGCTCGCAGCGCGGTTGGGCTTCGCGATGCCCCCCGCCTGAGCGCGGCGGCGCCGGACTCGTGGCCCGCGGGGCCCTCGGGGTTGCCCCAGCGGCCAAGCCCGCGGGGGTGCCCCGGCGGCCTGCCCCCGCGCCCCGGCGGCCCGCGGGGTTGCCTTCAAGGCATGGCCCGCGGGATTGCCCCAGAGGCTTCGCGATCTATCCGTCGGCGAACGCGCGCTCGTTGGCCGAAGCGGCGACGGCGCCGAGGAAAATCGATTCTGAGGGCGTGCCTGGACCTGGCCTGGGAGCTGGGGGGCCCGCGGAACACTGCCCCTGGACCGAGAAAAAAGGAAACCAAGAAAAACGCGTTTGGCAAGGGTTCGCGCCGCCCGACCAAACAAAGCAGAAAACGAACGCGTGGCCAGGTTTCGTGAGCTCCCACCGCAGAAAATGCAAACAAACGCCAACGTTTGGCCAGGTTCCGCGGGCTCCAAGACCAGCATTACCAGACCCAAATGACGCCCGACCAGGTTTCGTGAGTTCCGAGGCCAGACAAACCAGAAAACCAACGTTGGGCCAGTGTTCGTGGGCCTCCTCCTGCTCCTCCCGCTCGCACTTTTCCTTCGTCCCCGCTGTTCCTCCTGCTCCTGCTCTCTCTTTCTGCCCTCCTCTTCCCCCCTGCTCTCTCGTCCACTGTTTTGTTCTCCTTCCCCTTATCGTGTCTTGTTTCCGTGCGCGTGCTTTGGGTCGCGCGGTGTCATCGCCATGCGTCCTTCAGAAGAAATCATGAATAAGTCAATTTGGGAAAGGGGTTCTTGTATTCGGAGTTGTTACGCAGGGATTTTTTTCGTAATATATCAAATAACGATCAGCAAAGATTCATTCGCAATGGGTCATTCGTAAGGAGCCTTGCGGCTGGAATCTTTGACACGGAATTCTGAATCAAGCATCCTTGCCAATGACTTCTTAATGAAGGAATCCGTGGGAAAAAAAGGGGTCTCTAGTGGGGTCCCTGGTAAGGAATATTTGATAAGGAGTCCCTAGTCAGGTATCCTTGGTGAAGGATCTTCAGTCGGGAGTCCGTAATGAGGAATCACTAGTGGGGGGCTCTTTCGCAAGAGCCCCCAATGTGGAATCCTTCAAAAAGGAATCCTTGTCAATGGGTCCTCCGTAAGGAATCCTGGGTCGGGAGTCCTTCGTAACGGATCCTCGCAACAAAAACCCTCAGTACGGAATTCTTCTTGCGGAATCCTTAATCGGGAACCTTGAACACAAAAACCCTTAACGAGGAATTGCCAATGAGGAGTTCTCAGTCTGGACGTTTTGGTTACAGGAATTCCTTACTAGCGAATCACGAGTAGTGGTTTTTCAATATGGAACGTGCATTAACGAGTCCTTGGTCATGGTGCCGCTACTATGGAGCCCGGAGTATGGAACTCTGTAACCTTGGAGCAAGAGTGGTGAGCAATTAATTCCAGGAAGGAATCCTGATGTAAATAATCCGTGGTGAAGAATTCAAACCAGGAGTCCATAGTAAGAAATTCATACTGAATCCTTCGTCCGGAACTCTGGTTAAGGAGGCCTTGGTAGAGGATTCAGGGTAAGAAATCTTTTTGGAAAAAGGAGCCCTTACTGAGGAATCCTGTATAAGGAAAGAGTAGTACGGACTCATACGTACGGTCCTTATTATGGAACCCTTAGTCCAGACTCCTGATTTCGGAACCATTTGTAAAAAGGGTCCTTACTAAGAAATCAAGGAATCCCCAATCTGGAATCCTTTGTTTGTTCTAGGAAGGCTTGATGAGACATCCGAAACGAAGAACCCCCGAATAAGACATCCTTCGTAAGGGATCCTTCATTACGGGATCCTTTGTCAGGAGTTCTTCGTGGAGAATCCTTTCGTGAGGAATCCTTGGTCAGGAATTCGTTAGAAGGAATCCTTACTAGGGAATCCCCCACAACGAGGCCTTAGTAAGGAGTACGAGTCCTTATTAGAGAGTCGTTGGCAAGGAACCCTCTACAAGGAATCCATTTTTAGGGATAAATGTGTAAGGGATGTTTCTTAAGGCATTCGCAGCAAGGATTCCCGAATGTAAGGATTCCGAATAAAATTGTGAAGCTTCATCATGGTTTAGGTACACAGGGGTCCTCAGTAAGGAGCCCTAGTAAGGAATCCTTGGACAGGAGTAGTAGTCGGCAATGTTTTGGCGGGGGGCGCGTGCAGCCGATTCGCAGCGATCTGGTCGCTGCTTGGGGTTCTGACTGCTTTCTTTTACATGCATACATGTTTAAAAAGGTGTAAATCCAAATGACTGTGTGTATGCAGAGTTTCGAGAAGTACTTCATCACCGCCAGCACCGCAGGCGGTGATGGACAACAAATATGTAGTTCCTCTTCGTTCCCCTTTCTTTCCTTGTCCTTCTGCAGCAGGACATGCTTCAGGAGGGGAAAAAAACACACAGACACAATTAATCGGCGATTCCCAGAAAATATAGGAAAATATGGGAAGTGGGGGGGAAGACAAAAACCCAGAAAATATGGAAAATATGAGGGACATGTTTATTTGTGTTTATTCATTTGTGTGTCCTAGTTCCCCTTCAATGCTCAACACGGTGCCGCCGACGCGATCTGCTGTGGCGAGATTCCGCCCCCAAGAGCAGGAGGAGGAGGAGGAGGAGGAGAAGACGGAGGAGGAGGCGAGGGCAGGAGGAAAACGGAAAGGAGGAGAAGGATGAGGATCACAAGCAAGAGGGGGATGATGAAGAGGATAACGAGGAGGAGGAGGAGGAGGAGGAGGAGGAGGAGGGGGAGGGGGAAGAGGAGGAGGAGGAGCCGAGGACGAGCGGGGTGGTCGTGCCCCCCCCGCCCCCCCGCGGCCAACGCCCTCCCCAGGTTGACCACGGCAGTGACCAGATCGGGCTGCTCCTGGCGACGCTGCCAGAGGCGTCTCCTCCTCGCCGTGGTCGTTTCGTCGTCGCTGTCGTCGTCGCCCCCTGTCGGCGCCCTCGTCGTCGCCATCCTCGTCGTCGCCGTTCTTCTCCTCCTCCTCCTCCTCCTCTTCCTCCTCCTCCTCTTCCTCCTCCTCCTCCTCGTCCGCCTCCTCGTCGTCGTCGCGTCCTTGTCCTCCTCGTCGTCGTCGACGTCGACCATGTCGTCTTCGTCGTCGACGTCGTCCATGCCCCCGTGTAGCGGAATTGGGCTACAACCACTTGCGTTCATGCCCCGCTCAAGCGTCAAGGCTGTCATATTTCGTCGATCTGGAGCCGGTTTTTTTTTGAAGGCGCGGCGCCGGAGCTAGCCCGTCGCGCCTTGGCAGCACATTGCACATGCGCTGCCTCTTGTGCCGCTCGGCATAGCGCTACCACGGACGCAGCAGGTACCTGGTGGCAGTACGGTCGCGAGGCTTGCGCGGCCCACCCGCCATTAGCGGCCGCGCTTCGCGCAGTTTGGCAAGAATAGTGTGATGATTTGTCCATGTATCCCCCCTCCTCTCTTTCCCGCCCTTCTCCCTCCCCCCTTTCCTGTGCATGCTGCATGTGTGTTGTTTCACAGTACCCATATCTACTTACTCGCTGCTCCCGCAGTCCCCTGCGCGCCGGTGGTTACAGTCGGGGCGCTGAAGAAGGAGCCCTTTTCGTTGGGTAGGGGCTCGATGTTCCTTAATTGTTCCACAGCTTGCCTAAGGTTTCCCTTCTGCTTTCGATGGGAAATCGAAGTTTAACTTATGGAAAAAAGGGGCCTCGTTCCTTATTTAGGGTTCCTTAGGTCAACGCCCCGACTGTATTCCATGGCCACGCACTCGTTTGTCATTTCGTCGTTTCTCTGCTGCTCGTCCTCCTCTTCTCCTCCTTCCTCTCCTCTGCCCTTCCTCGGATCACCTCAAGCATGCGACCTTTCCGCTCGAGGATTCTGAGACGTGCAAGCGGCACGTGTCGCACAGGCTATCGCTCGAGCCCCAAGGGAAGAATGGTTCATGACCGACCGACGTGGATGCTGTAGGGTGATCCACAGCAGCCGCCGCGGTTTGGCGCTGAGTGTTGGCTCTGTGCTGTCGTCCTCCCTCCCTCCTGCTGTTCCCTCCTGCTCGCCGCCGCTCAGAGCCTCTTGTCGCTCGGCTCTCGGATTCAATATCGTCGAGGCGGCTGCTTCTCTTGGCCCTATCTGGGGCCCTCTTGGTCTGCAGGCTTATCTGAGTCCTGCACATCCCCGGCAGTACCGTCCGCCGTGACGGTCTTTCTATGACACCCGAGTTCCGAGTTCCGAGTTCCTCCTCTTCTCTCCTCCGGCCCGAGTCCGGGGCCATTGCTGGTTTTTGCTCTCTGTGCTCATGCAGCTGCGCAGTGCTCATCGGCGGCTGGGACACGTTCGGCTCCGTTCGTTCCCTTGGGCCGGATACGCTTCGGTCATCTGTCAGATCTCCTTTTGCCTCTGTCTCACTCGTGCGCACAGCGTTGGAGGTAGCTCAGTGGCTTCACTGTGGCGTCGCCGGGATTGGCTTCATCCTGTTGTGTCCGCTCCTTCTCCTCCTCCTCAAAAAAGATGTCGTCTCCGTCGTCGTCGTCATCCTTGTCGTCCTCGTCCTCGTTGTCCTCCGCTTTCTATCCTGGCCACGATTCGCATTTTCTGAGGCTGTGTTGGGGAATTCTATGCGGCTGGGTATGACTAGTTCGGCCTGGCCATCTTGCACCCGTACAGGGCTTCGGTTTCCACGACCATGCAGCTCTTGCCCGGCCAAGATTGTGGCAGACGCTTTCCCTCTCCCTCCTCCGCCCCCACCGTCTTCTTTCCCTGTCGCCTGTCGCTTGCATCGTGTGCCGTGTCCTATCTTTTCGTCGAGAGACCTGGCACCGAGCAGTTCTGGGGATGAGGATGATGATGATGAGGAGGAGGAGGAGGAGGAGGAGGAGGAGGAGGAGGAGGGGGAGGAGGAGGGGGAGGGGGAGAATGAGGGGGAGAATGAGGGGGAGGAGGAGGAGGAGGAGGAGGAGGAGGAAGGAGGAGGAGGAGGAGGAGGAGGAGGGGGAGGATAACGAGGAGGAGGAGGAGGAGGAGGAGGAGGAGGAGGAGGAGGATCCTCGTGCTCGCGGAGAAGGGGGGCGGATAGTCGGCGCTCGCCCTGCGGGCCGCAGCTCTTGCGTCTCCTCCTCTCCTCCGCTCCTTCTGCTTGTGCTGGCCTTATACAATCCTGATCCTGGTCATCCTCCTCCTCCTCCTCCTCCTCCTCCTCCTCCTCCTCGTTATCCTCCTCCTCCATCTCCTCCTCCGTCTCCTCGTCATCGTCCTCCTCCTCCTCGTGCTCCTCCTCGTGCTCCTCCTGCTCCTTCTCCGGCTCCGCCTGCTGCCGCCTATCGTACTTCTCAGCCTCATCGTTGCTTTCTTCCTCTCGGGCTCGGAGCGGGCAGTCGAACCCCCACTAAGAGGACGACGAACATACAAAGGGCAGATGTAGGAGGAGACGGCGGCAGCGCAGCTCTGGCGGCAGCCGTCAGGTTAGCGCACGAAAGCTGCACGTGCTCACTTCAGCACGCCCAGCCCTGCGACGACTTGGTGTAGGCCAGCAATGAAGGAAGACAGCTCACCCAGCAGCTTATTATCCGGATCTTCTGGCTCCTCGTGTGTTGCAGTGAATCATGCAGTCTATACCCAAGGTCTGTGCATCTGTCAAGTCTTCCCGCGATCATCCCAATTGCAATTTGGAGCTCGAATCTGTCCTTACCCTCTGGATCCCAGGCGCACGATTGGCAAGTTGACTCGGCGAACAACGATTTGCTTGGATTGTCCCAGCAAGCAACTGTCCCTCCACTTCTAGTGTGTTTCGGCAATCCAATCACTGTCACGCCGATAAGACACGTTATGCACACACGCATGTTTTCTTCCGTAGCCATTTTGGCTCAAGTTTGTTGCACCAAGTGTCGCCCTGCATCCCTTTTCGCATCACCAGATTACAGTAGCGCCGCCCGAACACGTCATGGTCGACCTCGAGGCTGGCGAGGGCTTCCCGCGTGGGCACCCGTGGGGGTGCCCGTTCCAGGGCACCCGCGCGCACTACGAGCAGCTGCTCGCGGAAGTCCGCTCGTCGTCCAGGCCCGACCTCGGAGAGGAGCCGTGCCGCATGGGGAGGGAGGCCTGCGCCCACGCGACCAGCGCCGTCCACGACGCCGTGCAGCAGACGCTCGGTGGAGGTGGAGGGGGCGCCTGCATGCCGCGCTGGCAGGGCGCCCCCCGCACGGCGGCGGAGTGCCGGCGCGCCGCGGCCCGCGCGGCGGCCGAGCCGGAGGCGCCCGCCGGCGCCCCCGCGGCGCGCGCCGAGCCCGCAGGGGTCTCGCCGCGCAGCTCCCGGCCTCCTCCTCCTCCTCCTCCCCCTCCTCCTCCTCCCCCTCCTCCCCCCCCTCCCCCCTCCTCCTCCCTCCTCCTCCCCCTCCTCCTCCTCCTCCTCCTCCTCCTCCTCCCTCCTCCTCCTCCTCCTCCTCCTCCTCCTCCTCCTCCTCCTCCTCCTCCCTCCTCCTCCTCCTCCTCCTCCTCCTCCTCCTCCTCTCCTCCTCCTCCTCCTCCTCCTCCTCCCTCCTCCTCCTCCTCCCTCCTCCTCCTCCTCCTCCTCCTCCTCCTCCCCCTCTCTGCTCCTCCCCTCTCCTCCCCTCCTCCTCCCCCTCCTCCCTCCTCCTCCTTCTGCGGCCGCGCCGCGCCTCGCCGCGCCGCGCTCCGGGTGTGCCGCGCCTCCCGCGCCGGCGGCCGAGGGCGGCCCCGGCGCGGAGGCGGCGCCGCCGCATGCACGGCCCGTGGCCGTGATCCCCGTCGCGCGCCGCCGCCCCCCGCGGCTCGCAGCCGGCCGCGGCGGGGGCCGGGAGCCCGGGCGGGGGCCGCTCGCGCGGCAGGTGCTGCACGGCGGCGTCCCACGTGCAGGGTCACGCGAGGAGGAGGAGGAGGAGGAGGAGGAGGAGGAGGAGGAGGAGGAGGAGGAGGAGGAGGTGGAGGCGGCACGTGGCCGGGAGAAGGTTACGTCGGAGCTGGCCGTGGCAGGCTCGAGGGTGAGGCAGCGTGGGGTGCTGACGTCGTCGGCCGCTGCGGCCATGCTGTCGCTCGCGAGGGGCCCCAGCTTTGAAGCCTCGCGCGACGCTGCACAGTGTCGTGAGCAGCATCGGTTTCGAGGTGTGGTGTCCTTCTCCGCTGATGCTGGCGAACACTGTGATCGCCAGCATCCGGACAAACCGATTTGCGACATGCGCGCGCTCGGGCTGTCCGAGCGGGCACGGCCGCACGCTCGCATGGGCCGACGAGGTCTTTCGGGGACTGCTCTTGGCGGAGGTGGTGCTCCGCATCACGGCCACTCGCTGGAAGTATGTTGTTGGAGATATGTGGCAGTGGAACGTGCTGGATTGTCTTCTGGCAGCCTGGGGCGTGCACGCTGTGTCTCAGGGCAGGGGCACCTTCACTTACATCAGGATTGTGCGCTCCTTCTGCCTGGTGCGGCTGCTTAGGGTAACCGGCAATTCGCTCTGCCTCCGCGATCTGCGCCTGATGTCCTGCACTCTGCTGCAGTCGCTGGTGTCGATCTTCTGGGCGTTTGTGCTCCTCTCCGTCGTCGTGTACTGCTTCGCCGCCTGCTTCGCGGTATCTGGCTTCCTGGCAGGTACCGATCGCACGGGGGCTGGAGAGGAGCATCACGTCCACGATGATGCCTGTCACCGTTTGGAGAAGCTGTACGGGTCCTTGCCTTTGACCATGTGGACGCTGGTCATCGCGGTCACGAACGGCGCGGACTGGGTGACGCTCGCGGAGCCGCTGGCGGAGGTGCACATGGTATACGTGGCAATTTTCGCAGTGTACGTGGTTCTGGTCCAGACATATATGGGCTGAATGCCCATACCATCAAGCAGCTCGTGGCGCTGTTGCCACCACGAATGGCGTCCAGGCAAATTTCTGGACAAGTGTACCCAGAGTTACGT